AATCTTACTGTATAAAAAGATTGTTTATCCAAAACATAACAATGACCAAAAAAAAACCCCAAAATATAGAACGACCTCTTAAGACTTAAGAAAACAAACAACCTGACTTAGAAAATTAGCCAATTACCTTAGAAGCCACCTTATCAAAGAAGATAGATCAATGGCCAAAAGTGAACAGATAAATTAAGAGGCTCTACCTCAAGAGTCATTGAGGAAACGCGAGGTTAGAACGATGAGACATCACCACACACCCAACAGAAAGACCCAAAACCAGAACCTGTCAGTAGCGACGTGCTAGATGTGGCTCATCGGGAACTCTTAATCGTTGCTGGAGAAGTGCAAACTGGTGCACATACTGGCTTCTCATACAACTACGCTTGCTCTAACCATCTTGCCATATGATCCAGCAATGGCACCCCGCAGAGCTTACCCAAAGTAACCTGAAACTCTTCTGCAGGAAAGCCTGTGCATGGGTGTTTCTAGCAACTAAAACTTGGAAACAACAAAGGTTATGCAGTAGACAAGCAGTTAAAACCCGTGGTATATACAAATATGCTGGAGAAGTGCAAACTGGTGCACATACTGGCTTCTCATACAACTACGCTTGCTCTAACCATCTTGCCATATGATCCAGCAATGGCACCCCGCAGAGCTTACTCAAAGTAATCTGAAACTCTTCTGCAGGAAAGCCTGTGCACGGGTGTTTCTAGCAACTAAAACTTGGAAACAACAAAGAGGTTATGCAGTAGACAAGCAGTTAAAACCCGTGGTATATACAAATAACGGAATATTCTTCAGAGCTAAAAGGAACTAGGCTGTCAAGTCATGTCGAGGAGTAGTGGAAGCATAAATGCATGTTATGGAGTGAGAGTAGACCAACCTGAAAGGGCTACCTAAGGAGGGGTTCTGACTGTGGCCTGCTGGGAAGGGAGGGTTGTGGAGGCATTGAGGTCAGTGGCTGAAAGGGGTTAGAGTGGGGGTGATACTCGGAGCACAGATGACTCGGCGGTGGAATTGCTCCATATGATCCTGTAATGGTGGATGGCTTATTACATTTGTCAGACTCAGAGTGTGCAATGCCAGGAACGAGCCCTACTGTATGCGGTGCACTTTGGGGGGTGGTGTGTCCCAGAGGTTGACTCTGGTAAGGGTTGTCAGCATGTGTAGAGGACTTGGGGATAGCTCTGCACCTTGAACTCAGTTCTGCTGTGAAAAGCCTGGACTATTCTTGGCCAGCTGAGGGTGTAGCTCGGTTGGTAGGGAGCTTGTCTGTCATGGACAAAGCCCTGGGTTTGAGCCTCAGCACTGTATAAACCAGGCGTGATGGTACAGACCTGCAACCCAGCACTCAGGAGGTGGGGGCAGAAGGATTGGAAGTTCAAGGTCATACTTGGCTATCAATTGGGGGGGTGAGAACAAGAGAGAGGAAGGGAGGAGAGGGAGACAAGGAGGGAGAGTCAAACTTGTGTGCAATGGCACCGGGTTTGGCATAAAAGCCACCTGACTGCAGACCTCCTGCTCTACCAAGATGCCTCATGCCCACGCCATCCCTGCCTGCCTCTGTCACCTGTCATCTCTGTCACACAGCTGCCTGGGGAAGTCTCTGAACAGTTTGAAAGGAGCAGCAGTTGCTGGCTCTCCAGACTGACAGTTCCCTACTCCAACCAGATGTGGCATGATGAGGGTCACAGTGCTGGCTGGGAACCAGATCCAACCTGTTCCCCAGAGCCTGTTTCCATTTTTTGTTTAATTTTTTTGAGACAGGGTCTCCCTGTAGTCCAGGCTGGCCACAATCTCCCAGAGATCTTCCTGTCTCTGCCTCTCTAGTGCTGGGATTAAAGGTATGTGCCATCACTCCTGGGGCCTCAGTCCCCAAACCTCTGTGTATCTAGGTCAAGCTCAGGGATCTAGCTTAGCAGGTGTCATGGTGATGACGCCTCCCAGCCCCCACATTTTTCATGAACCTGGGCTTGCCCTTGGAGACCCTGTGGTATTCCCTGGACCCAGTCTGAAGCATGCTAAATAACATAGAACATAACAGTAAAAAAGATATTTTATTGTTAAAAAAAAAATACCAACACACAAATGGCCAACACATCGCTAATCTTGTCACTCATACCCACAGTGATGCGCGGCTGGGAAGTGTGCACATGGATGCCCCTCTCCATACAATTCCCTTTCACCGTGACCAGCTCTGTGGATGTGAGGCTCATGGCTCTTCCTTGACTTCTGACTCCAGAAGCCACACGCATGAAAAGGCAGCGGACCAGAGAGGGACTGGCAGGGAACGGGGTGCTGAGGCCACCACAGGCCTGCCCGGCTTCTAGTCTCTGCTACTCCTGGCTACATAACTCTCTACACATGGGTGCCCACATGTGTAGAATGCATGCCCACATTGACTCCCCATGCACAGGGTTGAGTCAGTGTGAGTAACACTTGATTGGCAGGGGCATCTGCCATGAAGGGGTAGGGAAGGGCAAGGTGTCTGGCCTGGGCCCACTGGCTGGCTCCTACCTCTGCCTGGCCCTGAATGGGAGCTCTGAGTTCCTTGGATCTAGACAAGAAAACTCCCTTTAGGAAAACACATCCAGACACCAGAGTTGAAAAGTGCCTGGGAAACTTGGGGCAAAGAACCCGACGATCTGCGAGGTCTGAATTCTTCAACACGGAAGGTCTGGGGCAAGATCCCGACAGGCGCAGACTGGTAGAAAGTCCTAGGATTTTCAGAGGTGGAGCAAGTCCTTCTGAAAGTGGGCCGCAAGAACAAGACTTCTAGAGGATAGATGTCCAAGTGATTCATCTCCTGAGAGCCCTGTTGCCCCCAGTGCCCAGCGTGGTGGTGACGGGACACTTGGCAGATGTGGCCCGTCCGGATGTACATGATGCACATACTCAGGTGACTCTGTACCTGCTCCCTGGCTGCTCTTAGCCCCTAGGAGGTCACTGCATGGACCTTCACAGTCCAAAGACGCTGGGCCTCCCCTCTTCAGCAGTTATGACCGTTAGGTACAAACCTGCCTGCCCCTCCGTGGGCCAGTGGACAACTGTAGGGCTGTGGCCCAGCCAAGTGAAACCAGCGGTTAGAGCTCTTTCTTGCTGGGGCCGAGAGGTAGTAAAGCCCCGATACTGCCTGGGTCTCATCCCGAGGGCAGCTGTGCCTGGGGATTCGGGGTAACCGCTCTGGGCATCCTCCGTCCTGGGGCCCTCAGCTTCCCTCCACCTTCAGGGACCAGCTGGTGATCGGAAGAGCACATTTCTAGAGATGGTCTGGACTGGGAGGGGGCGGCGTTTCTCTCTCACTCCCAGTCACACCCAACTCACTCCCTATGGGACTGGAAGGCCTGGGCCTCCCCGCTGCCTTCCTCTGAGAGCAGGAAGCTAGAACATGACTTCCTCACAACTCCCGTAATCACTCTCCACCATGTCTGAGCCTTCATAGTTGGGGGGCGCCCGGGGCTGGCCCCGGCCTGCAGCAGGTCCACCGCCTACTTCACAGTCAGCATACGAGGGCCCCGCTCTGCTGAGGCGCATGCTCACCCCCTTGTAGCCCCCCTCTGCTAGGCGGGGTCCACCTCCTTCCTGGCGGAACTGCGAGTGGTAATAGCTAATGGCCGTGTACTCGTTGAGACGGGGGGCGAGCAGGCGCTCCCGGGGGCTAGGGGGCCTTGGGGGCATCAGGTCCTCCAGGTTCTGGTTGCTGTAACGGGGTGGGAGGGGTGCCCGCTTGTTCTCCAGCTCCAGGGGGAAAGGGAAGCCTCCATAAAGGCCCGTGGTATCTGGCATCATGGCTGGGCCCACGAAGTGGTGAGGTGAGGGTGGCAGAGGTCCCTGGGTCACTTCAGGGTGTGGATATTCCCAGGGTTGCTTCTGAGAGTAAGTTGGGGGCCAGACTGCAGCTCCACTGGGGTAAACTGAAACAGAACAGATGGCAGTAAGAGACTGTGAGCATTCCAGCAAGCCCTAAGGTGCTATCTGTGTGGTTGAGATGGCCCAGGATGCTGGCATGCTCGAGGCCCGACTGCGTGGGTTGTCATTGGAAGCTTGGGTGGGCTAAGGTTCACTGGGGGCAAGTTCAAAGCCAGGGGTTAAACTCAAAGCCATCTTGTGACTCTCTGCTGCTGACCTGCGTCAACGAGAAGAGGACTAGGGAGCACCATTGATAGACCGATGTGGTCCATCCTGTTGGATGCAGCAACTCCTCTCAAGATCCATTGGGAGTGTAATTTCTGAACTGAAGGAAGCAGAGGCATAGTGTAGACTTGGGATGGGGTACGTCTGGCACAGGAGTGACGGTGAGGGTAGGTTAGGAATGCAGTCCCTGGTTTCACACCTGTCTCTGTCACTGAGAAGCTGGGTTAGACCAAGTCAGTTCATCTTTAAGCCCCCTAGTGACACAGTGAAAATTTGTGTTGTAGCTTTAGTGGAGCACACCAGGAAAACAAAGTGCTTCACAAATTCACCTCCTTCTGAGCCAGAGATGGGAGGGCCTTTAGTTCCTCTGGGTCAGCAAAGTCCAGTTTTCAGAGTGAACAACCAGAGCCTTGGACCACTGCTTCTCTTTCCCTTTGCAAAATAGCACAAATGTACAGACGTGCCCCTTTACTCCAGAGTCTACCCAAAACCATTCAGGGCTACAGTTTCTGACATGATCATCAATCCTACAGTGTGACTTAGAATTAAGAGTGGATCATGGATCAGCACAGTGAGTGACACACTGTGGGTCAAGAGATCTGGTATCTTCTCCAGTCCTTAGTACTCTGTGGCCAGGAAGACGCCCCTTCATGTCCCCCAGAGACTGACTTGACCAGGGGCTAAAAATGCTTACACGTCAATGGAATGTTTAGGGTCCCTGCCCCCTTCCATCCACCCAAGAGCCATGGGGCTTCTGGCTATACTAACCCAGCTCCTCGCCTGACCAAGTTCTCTTGATGATAGACTCATGGTCTGGGTGAGAGGAGACCGCGGCCGGAGGGAGCCTGGGAGGCACACTGCACACCATCGGCCGTTGCTTGGAGCTGGATCCAAAAGTGACAAGTTCATTCGGAACTGAGGTCTTGATGGGCTCTGGTTGGTTCAGATTGTTGCAGGAGCTGGTGCTCAGGGGGTCGAGCTCGATGGCCGGCATGGCCTGGGTGTCAACGCCAATGCTCCTGGCTAGGAGGTCTGGGTCCTCCATGGCCACTGGCTTGTGAGACTTGCAACGTCGACAGTACAAGAGAAGCCCGGTGGTGGTGACAACGACCAACAGCAAGGCCACTATGATGATCAGCAGCTCCTGTTGTCCCCAGTCCCCCCTCGTGATCTCAGGAGTGATGAGGCAATGTCCCTCGGCACAGCCCCTGGCCTCCATCTCACACCTGCAGAGACAGAGAAGCAGTCAGTGGACTTCTGCAGTTCCCTTTTACACAGGTCTATGTGAAAGAGCCCTCGCCTGCAATCCAGTGAGTTTTCCAAAGGTAGAAGGGAATTGTCAAACACACCAACATCAGAGCGTGTGTGTGTGTGTGTGTGTGTGTGTACAAGTGTACTGCCTGCATGTATGTGAGTGCACCCGTGTCATGCAATGCCAGTGGAGGTCAGCAGAGGGCTTCGGATTCCCCTGGAACTGGAGTTAAGGACAGTTCATAGCCACCGTGTGGGTGATGGGAATCGAACCTGGGTCCTCTGTAAGAGCAGTCAGTGTGCTTAACCACTGAGCCATCTCTCCAGCCCTGAGGACCTGAGTTTTAATCACCGGTGCCCACATAAAAGTTAGGCATAGAGGCTGGAGAGATGGCTCAGCGGTTAACAGCCATCTCTCTTAAAGCTTAAATTCAAAGCCATGTTGTAAATCTCTGTGGCTGACCTGTGTCAGCAAGAAGGGAGGACTAAGGAGCACCACTGATAGCCCGATGTGGTCCACCCTGTTGGATGCAATGGAGGACCTGGGTTCAATTCCCAACACCCACATGGTGGCTAACAGCTGTCTGTAACTCCACTTCCAGGGGATCCAACTCCCTCTTCTGACCTCTGCAGGCACTGCAGGACACGGGTGCACTTATATCCATGTAAGCAATACACTCATAAACAAAATTTTTAAAAAGCTAGGTATGCTGCGCCAGTATGCTGCACCTGTAACCTGTAAGAAACAGGAACATCAGTGGGGCTTGGATCAGATCCCTTGGAACTGGAGTTACAGACTTTTGTTAGCCACCACGTGAGTGCTGGGAACCAAACCACGGTCCTCTGCAAGAGCAGCCAGTACTCTTAACCGCTGAGCATTCTCTGTATTCGCATGTTACTGGCTCTTGTACACAGGCTGATTGCAATGGAATCCAGGCTATTCTTGGAGATCCCGATTCCATAGGTCTGGAGGGGACCCTGGAATCGAAGCTTTTCACAAGTCTCCCTCATAAATGCTTAAAGGCCCTCAAGCTTGGGAGCCCCAACACCAGATAACTGTCCAAAACTGCTTTACCTCCAGTTTCCAGAATGCTTTTCTTTCCCTGACAGCCCCCACTGCTTGGCCCAGATCTTTTAGTACGGTCTGAGATAGACTGGTTCCTGGCCAGATGGGATCATTCTCCCTAGGACGCTCTCTGGGACAGCACAGTGCACAGCAGGTACAGCCATTTCTTCAGAAACTTCAGCAAAGTCCTAGGGAGCTGTGGAGACGTGGCTTCCTGCGCCCTCATTTGTGCATCTGATTTAGGAGGTTGGGACTAGGCTTTAGGGAATCATCTTTTTAACATAACAACTCCCTCCCCCAAAGTGTCCTGGCAAGGAGTCAGAGAAGGCCCAGAGGCCAGGATTCTAGAGTATCCAGTCCCTGGCTCCTACTGGCCTCTGGAGGTCAGAGCACAAAGGTCACTCCCTAATGCTGCAGGGTAAAGAGCCAGGGCACACAGCCTTCCCTGTGCTTACCTGTCCCCCATGTGAGGGTGAGGGCAGTTGCAGGATGCTCCTTCAGGGGAGGAGGTACAAGGGCCACCTTCCAGGCAGGGCGCAGAAGTGCAGTTCTCCTTTCTGAGTTCACAGTGCCTCCCAAACAACAGAGGGGGGCACCTGCAGATGTAACCTACAGGGAAGAGGAAGGAGTGAGCAACCAGCTGGCCATCAGCAGGCACCAGCGAACACCTGTTGCATCTCTGCGCTGCAGTTCGAGAAACATTCCGCCCCTAGATTCTTGCAGCTTGCCTATCACCCTGGGCAGGCTGAGGGAACCTACCTTGTCAGCTCAACAGTGATGCACCAAGGGTAGTTCATGCCAGGGGACTTTGGGATAAACTTTGGGGTCACCTTCCCCGTCGTTACCTGCTTCAGGGGCTGGTGCACAGCTCCCGCCATTGAGGCACGGGTTCTGGCTGCAGGCAGTGCTGGGCCAGCAGCACTGGCTGAGTGCTTGTCTCTCCAGCAAGTCCACTGCCTTCTCACCAAGGCCCAGCAGCTCCAGCCTCTCACCGTTGACCACAACAGCATCCAGGCAGCCTTCGAAGCCCAGGGAGACATTTGAAGGAGGATGAGAGGGCACAAGGCCGCCCAACAGAAGGCGTCTCTCCATCGTCCGATCCCGGCATCCCTCTGGGAGGATGAGGGAGGTGTTGTCCATATTATCAACTAACAGATGAACAGAAGTGTCCGTCTCTTCCAACAGTGTGAAGTGCCACTTCCCATCATTCACAGGACGCAGGGTAGAAAAGTTCCTGTAGAAACCACCTGCGCAGTGGTATTCCAACCAGAGGAAGCCATTGGCCAGCTGCAAAGAGAGCCCAGACAGCCATCAGGCAGGGCAGAGGTCCCTATCACCCCACTGCCAGGCTCCCAGTTACAGCAATGCTGTTTGGTTTTCTTGCTCTCCCAGGATAGCCTCAAACTTTCTATATAGTCAAAGATGACCTTGACCTTCTGGGATTACAGATGTGCACCACCACACCTCGTTTATACAGTGCTGGGGATCGAACCCAGGATCTTGTGCATGCCAGGCAAGTACTCTACTAACTGAGCCACAGCTCCAGCCCAGGTTGGAGGATTTTCAACTGCTTCCAACATTACCTCCGAAGTATCTAAATACCCTCTAAGTCCCATCTGTTCCTTACCATGTTTCCATTGGATGGTGTGAGTGGAGGTGACACCATTGACATATTTGAGCAAAATGAGGACCAAAGACACTTTAATGGTGGAACTCTTTTTTGGCTCATGCAAGAGTCTGTGACTGGACCAGCTAGTGTGAAACTATCACAAAAATAAGGTGATGGTACCAAAGAGCAACATCCAAGATTGTCCTCAGGGCGACACACACACACACACGCACACACACTCACCAGAATTAAAAAGCTGGAGAACCACTGGCTTAGAATATTCTAGCTCACTTTCCTCCTAATAGGTAGATATACTTATAGCAAGTTCCAGAACAGCCTACATGCACAATGGACCCTGTTTCAAAAAACAGAAGTAACAGCTGGGGCGTGTGGTAGAGTGCTGGACCAGCACACCTGAAGGTCTAGGTTCAGTTCCCTGTATTGACAACTATCAAGTTGAGGTTGCATTGATAAAACAAGCCACAAACTGTGGCCTGTGGCCAGATATTTTTCTGTTTATTTTGGGTTAGGTAGTTTATTTGAACTATTTTTTAGCATGACTGGAGAAAATATATCCTATTATATCTTTGTCCGTAGCTTTCGTCCTGTGACCTTCGCCACAGATGAGCCTTTAGAGCTGCCTCCATCAGACTGAGCCTGTCCACCTACTGGATGACTGTAACCTAACATGGCCCCACACCATGCTCGGCTGATGGCCTTGCTTCCTGCTGGAGGGTCTGGAGGCACTCTGACCATCACGTCTGTCCCCGCCTGCTCAGCTGGCCCTCTTCATCAATTCCCTCATGCCGAGTTCTCTGGATTGCCCTCTCTACCTAGTCTCTGTTTCATACATTCTCATCCAGATCATCCCCATCAGCATATAGACTTGTTATTCTTCCAATCTTAAAAGAATTAGTTGTCTTGAACCTGGACATTTTCTTTCTTTGTCCCCTGCTTTGCGGCAAAATTGACCTGTCTGAGCTGCACTAAAACCTCTGGTGTTGAGTGTTCGGTGATCTCTGTGTTGCTGAGTCAGATGACAGAACTTTCAATTCTGCTCAGCCCCCTAGCAGCGAGTCACTCAGCTGATCACTGCCGGCCACCACCGCCTCCTCTTCTTCCTCCTCCTCTTCCCTTTCTCCTACCAAGCACTCTACCACCAGGCCACACCCCCAGCTTCTTCTTGATACATATTCACTTGGCTTCCTAGACGCAGCACCCCAGGCTTTTCTCTGACATCACTCACTGCTTATATTTAGCCTCCTTGGCCCTCCTCATGGGCTGTGTCTGAAGGGTTAGCCTCAGTCTACTTTCTGAGCTGTGCTCCCTGGCACTCTCATCTGGCCTCACGACTTTCAGGAACATGCATGTGCTGCTGACTCCATCCCAGTCCAGACCTCTCTCGTAACACTACACTGGCTTCACTTTCAGAATCTGACACCTTCACGGCTCCACTGTCATCACCCTGATGTCCACAGCCTTCCTCACTCACCTGGGTCACTACACCGGCCTCCTGGCTGGGGATCTCTGCTTCTGACTCTGTTCCTCTAAACTCTCTTCTTAACCCAGGTCCCATCCGGGCCCCTCTTCAGTAAGATCACTGTGTCATTGGCTCCAACTCTTCTGATACCCTCTGTTTTGCCAAAGTCCTTACAAGGGCCTCTGAGGCCTTCATAGCCATGCCCCTCTTCTTGCTAGACCTCTGACCTCAGCTATGGGTGGTGCCCTCCTTGCTCACATCCCTGGAGCCATGTGGGACTCTGGACTGTTGCTTAGGAACACAGGCATTCTCCCACCACCCTCTCTAGCTGCCCACCCCCCAATCCCAGCAACCACCTATATCACCATGTGATAACTATTCTTCATTGTCAGTTTGATGGGCTTTAGAATCACCATGGAAACACACCTATGGGTGTGTCTAGGAAGGAGTTCCTAGGAGGTTAGTTGAGGTGGGGAGACCCGCCCTAGCTGTGGGCAGCACCATCTCATGGGCCGGGGTCCTGGGCTGAATAAAAAGGAGAGAGTAAGCTGAGCACCAGCATGCATCCCTCCCTGTTTCCTGACCGCAGATACAATGTGACCAACTGCCTTACCAAACCTTTCCCAGCTTCTTAAACCACAAGCCAAAATAGCACCTTTCTGAAGTTGCTTGTATCAGGCATCTTGTCACAGCAATGCGACGAGTAAGGAGCACATCCCTCACCCCTTCAAATTACTGCTCTATCAGCACCTCCCTGACCACCTTACCTGAACGTCCAGCTCCCCTCACCTGACCCCTCTTATCCTCCCCCTTTGTGCCTACAGGGCTTCTCACATTCACACTAACTCCATGATGCCTGTGTTTAACCATGAATTTCATCATTCAGTCTCCACATAGAATGGAAACCCCTGGAGGGATTTCTGTACTGTGCAACAGTGAGACCCGATCACACCAAGCAGGGCCTGTCGCCCAATGCTGATGCTCAATAGATACGTGTTGAACAAACTGCAATCTAACTAGCTAACGAAGTCAGCTTCTCATTGTCAAAGTGGGAGCCTGGTGCTTGTGGAAGTATTAAACTGTCCAGCAGAGACTTCCTACGAGATTAAACAGAAGCACCGAGGCACTGAACATAAGTTAATATGCTTTTTTGTCATCTCGAGAATCCCCAGTGGTAGCCAGCAAACCCCACCTCCGCTGTGGGACATACTAGCTATTCCTCCACAAAACAAAACATAGGGGACTGGAGAGATGGCTCAGAGGTTAAGAACACTGGCTGTTCTCGCAGAACACTGGGTTCAGTTCCCAGCACCCACATGGTGGCTCACAACCATCTGTGGCTCTAGTTTTGTGGATCTGACACCCCTTATGGCCTCCATGGTAAATGTACACATATGGTGCACATACAGATGTAAAGATTTCAGGCATCATACACATAAAATAAAAATAAATCTTAAGGAAAAAAAAAACATGGTCACAGCATCAGAGTCATGTGGGCTGACCTCTCTATCGCCCTAGGATCTCTAACCCCACAGAGCAAGCAGCCCCATCCCTGGATGACCTAGGACATGTATCTCTGGGTGGAGCAGCCATGGTACCCCTGGCCTCAAAGTCCTGTGTCCTTGTGTCCTGACCTTATAGTCACACTCGGCACCCCTGCACACCACAGGAAAATTCTTTGCTAGGAGCTGGGTTGGTAGCCATCCTCCCAGCCTGGGGTACCCACAGAAGCCATTCAGGCAGGAGTGCCTTACCTTCAGGGAAATGGATGCTGTTTCATCGGTGAACATTAGAAGGGCCTGTGGCTGGAGTGTTTTCAGGTAGAAATTGACCTGCCAGTTCTGAGCCCCTGGGGGCCTGTAGCGCACATAGCTCTGACCACTGAACCTCACGGCGGTACCTGCAAATAAACCCAAAGTGTCACCATACATGAGTCATGGGCTTTCTTTTTCAGTCCTTGGTGGCAAACAGGGTCACTGTTCACATTTAATACACAAAGAACACAAGACTCCAGGCTGGGGTTGGGAGGGCTTTTCTGGAGCCATGCAGGGAGCTGGGTCTTCACCCTGCATATCTTCCTCTGGCCACAGGTTCCGCTGTATCTACTCTCAGCCCAAGGGTCAGAAGCTATGAGCTTCAACCATGAAGAAAGCCAAGGCAAGCCGGGCGGTGGGGGTGGGGGG